CTATTGAAGAAAAACAATATTAAAAATCTAGAGAAATTAACCAAACAGATTGTGAGATAAAAAGGATCAAAATAGATCAGTCAAAACAGCTCAGTCTTAAAAAAAACCCCCCAAAAAAACACAATAGCAAGACTGAGCCACAAGATGGCGACAAAGTAGCTTTACCAGCTAAAGCATATGTACTAACATTTTTTTAAAGTTATCCAATTAGCTTGTTAAATAAAAATAACATTATCTATTGAAGAAAAAAATATTACAAATCTAGAGAAATTAACCAAACAGATTGTGAGAGAAAACGGATCAAAATAGATCATTCTTGAGAAATAGCAAGACTGAGCCACACGATGGCGACAAAGTAGCTTTACCAGCTAAAGCATATGTCCTATAAAAATAAAGTTATCGAATTATCTTTTGTATAATATATCAATAGCGAAATTGGAAAATAAATGGAAAATTATTTAAAAGCATATTATTAACTTTATCATAACCATTTTGAAGATCTATGCACCAATGGCCTAGCATTGCATGTGGTCCTAACAATATAAAAAATGTACTGTTGTGTGATTCTTCTCTCGGTGCCGGAATAACCTGGGCGATCGCCCTTTTCTTTCTCAAGGGACTGTGTGCTGGATTTCGAGGTATTGTTAGCGGTGCTCGGACATCGCTTTCCCAGTCTTTGTATGAAACGCTCTGGCATGCCTGTTCTTCTGTAAGGAGTTATTAACTGTAGCAAATCTAGAAAAAATAAAGTCAAAATCATTTCTGTTGTAATTATTTTTAAAAGGTTAAACAGTGTCCACACCCTACACGCGAAATGAGATACAAAGCCAAGAGAAGTTTAATTTTTAAAGTATAAGATGAATATTTGTACCATTTTGTGAGACTTGCTCCTCAATCAGCTGTACATAGTCTAGAAATAAACACAAGATCATTTTCTGATGTAGATATTTAAAATGATCAGTGGATACATAGCATTACTAAGCAAGCATAATGTAGCCAACACGTGGCTTCGCGTTACCCTCCATGAAAAATAATGAGGAACGAATCACGAAAGAAAAGTTTAGTTTTTAAATTATAAAAACGATTACTTTACCGTCTGGTTCATCAATCAGCTGGGCGACCACTACAAATAAAAACATTTTCTGCTGTAAAATAATCTGCATATATAAATCAGATAGAGATAGAAGAGATAGAGACTTACACTTATCAATCTGGCTAAAAGCGTTTTTTCTCCGCGTAGCCTATAAGATGAAAACTATTAAAATAGAGAGCGGTTGAAAAACGTCTAATCACCTCTTTAATCCTAGACTTTATTAAAAACAGAGTAGTGCTGTTGTTCACATATATAATTCCACTAACCTTTGCGGTCCAAGGTGTGAAAACACGTTAAAGTTTGTTTTATAGACTTTTGAAACCGTGACCAGGGTCATGTGAAAATAGTTTAGGAATCCCCACATTACAACCGTGACAGAAGACAATATGTTTCATCGTCACGGATAGTTTAGCGCTGTGTTTACATAAACACACACACACACACACACACACACACACACTCTCACACGGATTCGATCCGTTTACCTGGGCAATTTATCTAACGTTATATTTATATTATTTTGTCGTCAATATTTAGTTTTAAGGGGTTAAAAATGGCCCTTATCACCCTTGATTTACATATTTCATCACATTATTTTGACAGTTAAAGTTTTGGGTGGTTTTTGGTCGGGTTTTTGTGAGCGTTTAGGCTGGAAACCGTCCATCCAATCTGGCAACACTGAGTGCATCAGACAAGACGAGGAAGAAGAGGTTTCGCAAGTTATTACACATGCACCTGAATAATTATGTATGCAAATATGTATGTTACAATTATGAAAACGTTTTTATAATATATTGCTGACAGTACAATACTGACCAATGATGTAATCTGCAGAATTTACACTTCAATTATTTAATGCGCTGCATTCTTTTGCTCATTGCGTCCTCCAGTGGCCTCAGGAGACGAGCCAAAAGTTTCCTTAAGATTTATTTAATCTGCATATAAAACATAAGAAAGGAGATATTTGTTTAAATTTTAATTTGTGTTTGACTGTTAAACAAAAAACAAATTGTTGTTTGTCTTAATAAATTGGGCAAATTAAAAATACCGTAGTTAAATTTAAAATCAGAATGAGTCTCTATGTGCTGCACTCATTTTATAATGGTGACAGAGAAATGTTATGGTAAATAGTTTATAATTTACATTAGTTCATGTGTGTTATTAAAGACACACTGATGCCTCTGAGATGTTTGGCATGCTAAATATCTGCAGCTGTCGGCGACTCGGTCCTGCAGTGTGAAATGTGTTCAGACAACATTTATCACAAGCTTCTTAACCGGAAGAAGTCCAGTCTCGAGTGAGCTTATGTAGTTATGAAATGTTTGTAGACCAGATGGAGCTGTCTGTGATTCTTCCTATTGAAAAGTTGTGTAATGTGTGCCCCCCGTCAGCGATCTGTCGTGTAGTTTACACACAACAGCAGCGAGATGATACTCCAGACGGTCGTGCAGTGTGAACCCGGCAGAACTTAAAGAAGATTGTAATGATGTGTGTTTGCCTGGATTCACTTTCACAGTCTCAGCAGTTTTTCATCATAATATCTGTGCTCTGTGTTTGATTCTCTCAGGAGAGGAGACTCTCTGTCTGTGAGACTTGCTCAGAATAGATTTGCCGTTCATGAACGTAACAAACCCAGGGGTCTGAAGAGAAGAAGTAAGTGACGCATAATTAGATAAAAACACAATGGACAGTAATTCTTTATAGTAACATGTATGCTGTGATTTCTCAGCTGACGTCCCAGAACAAACCAGACCGCAGTCGTTACAGCGGGAGACGTATCTGATCTCCTGTTACAGTCACAGCAGGGAATAATGTTCAGTGATCAGCAAATCTTCTGCTGATGCTAAGATGATTTTTCAGTTAACTAGCATGTTACCATGCTACAAAAAATGTTTCACAGTATAATTTTACAATATACATGCAAAGTTTTCATGATCAGACAAGAACAACAACATACAGTAAATGTGCTCAAATGTCTTTGCAGGAATGTGGACTGCGCGCTTCATATTTTCCACAAAGAGTGAATGCACAGATGATGACAGTTGAAAGGGTCATATTCACATTGTTACTGTACTCAGCCTACTCTACAGTTCCTGATTCATGCACAGACCGTTCTCTCCCTCGTATCCAGCAGACCGCTGACGTGTGGAGTGGAGAAGTGACGCCTGAAGTTGCATTGCTGGAAAAAAATCTGTGTTTAGAGATGAGGAACATTATGAAAACTGAATTTAAGGAGTAAACATTAACACTTGAGGAGCCATAAACTATCTCAAGGGCCAAAATGTGAAAACCCTGGTTTATAATTGCATCTGTCTTCTCAAACGGCAGCATATGGGTGTCTGTGGACATGTATAGTCTGTTTTGGTTTTGTTTTCTCTGTTTCCTATATTAATTTCCCAGGCATTGTTAGTTTCCTTTGTTGTCAATTAACACGCCTGTTCTGTTTTCTGTTGATGATACTCATGATGAGCTCATGGTTTTCATGTTGTTTCAGTTTATGTGGTTTGCTATTTCTCCTAAATGTTCGTAATTCTGAATAAAGACTGTTTGTGGTGCTACTCCTTCGTTGTGTCGTGTGTGCTGCAGAACACGTTACAGTGGCTTTGGGCTGTTTAAGAAATTGTATTCTAAAAAAAAAAAAATTTGAAAAGCAATTGAAAAGAAAAAAATCTTTTTATGCCTCAAATGTTGTTCTGCTTGTCAAACTGATCACTTGAACGACACTCCTGCCAAACATGCTGGCGATCAATAAATATAAAAACTATTTAAAACAAAACTTTTTTTAAAACCAAGTATACAAAATTTTGTGAGAAAATGGGAACACGGTATGTCAATATGTTTAGGGAGCAGAAAATAAATTGCATTAGAAAATACTTTTTAATTCATTTAACAAAAAAAGCTTCACTAGAAAATAACTTTCACTGTACCTTCTGATCGCACTGCAAAAATGTGATGCTCTTCCTCTGTATTCCTCTTGTTTTCCTGTGCAAATGTATCTTAAAAATAAGATGCACTTGAGAAGCGAACTTGACTTCAGTCTTGTTTTCTGTGAAACTGAAAACAGGAACAAACGGGCTCCGAAAAATCAATTCAATTCCAAGGGAAACACTTTTTTTATACCCCATTGATGGATATTTGTTCTTGTTTTAAGCACAAACTCAATTTTGTTACATTTTTCAACACTCAAGCTATCTTCATTTAGCATCTTAAGTGAATGTGAGTAAATCTCGATTTAAGGATGTTTAGATATGTGTGTTGGAAAACATGAATGAAAGACTTTCAGCTCTGATTTAAGGCCGTCGTTTGTGGAAGGTTGAATTAAGACTTTCTAAAGAGTTTAGGGGTGGACCTTAATGCTTACCTTTTTCTGAAAATCATGCATGTATATAAGATACGTACAAATTCATATGAAATCGCCACCTTGTGAAATGGTTGTTTTCCTGCGAGATCTGGTTGACTGAACTCACCTGCCAATGTTAGAGCCATGCAACAAAACACAGAAGTGCTCAAAGAACTGTTTTACCGGTGTGTCATCTTCAGGTCAGAACTCTCAAACACACCGCCGTTCACAGAATCTGAGTTTGAACCTATCACAAAAATATCACACAAAACCCTGACAGTGTCATTTCTTGACAGCTCGACCTCCTTTGATAAATTGTGCTGTGTTTGGTAAAGCGAGCGCGGCTCAGAAACGCCCCTCATTTCCTCTCCCTGCCAGGCACAATGAATAATGTTGCTGCTCATTGTGTCCACACAGATTCTTTCTTCTGCCCCGGGTGGGTGGAAATCAAGGCATTTGGTCTGAATTCTGAAGAGGCTTGTTAGCCTCCATAAAGAGTAGCATTGTGTATAAATGGGTTATATAAGTGCGTATGACAGCCATGGTGCAGGGTTGTGGCTAGTAGTGCGTAAATCTGTAAATGCTGATCTGTAGCGAGGCCATTAGCTGTTTCCTGGAAATGTCTCTAGATTATCACAGCTGAAGGTAAATCGCTCTTTTCATTCACCATAATCAGACTTGGAAATGTTCATTTGACTGCTCGGTTATTTTTGCAGCACATTGTAAAATTGAAATCCTTATTGCAAGTGGGACTTCAAATCGGTCATGTAGTTTATACAGATGCACTGAACTGCATCACAGTTAATAACCTGTATATTAGTGTCTATGTGGAGTTGTTGTGTGGGCCAACCGAAAGCCAGCTATTGGCCAGGTCGTGTTGTGTCAGGTGACGCCATGCGGTGCTAGACCATCGCCCAAGCTCTTAACCAGCTCCAGATTAACCACAACTCATTTTTATTTCAGTCAACCAAGTATCCAAATGCCGAGAGCCCAGTCTGTTGTTCTTCATGTTTGGAGCTAGTAGCATAAGCTGCTTTCTCACGAGCTGAACCTGGTAAACTACTGCTCAGATTCAGAGTTTGGTGTCGGAGAAGATTTGTGGTTTAGCATTTTGTTGGGATTACAGTAATATTGAATGTTGTGTAACTGGAAGTTTAAAAGTTGAAGTGTTTAGTCATGTTGCGTATGACATATCTAAATAGGTTATGCACATTACCAATCAGGTTTTTGACTCTTTTACCCTTTATTGTGACTATTTTCCACATTTTATTTATAATAATGTTATAGTGTTTACGTAATGTAATTACGTAAGGCAATAAAACATTAAGTTACTCTAAAAAAAAAAGTAATTACTAGCTACTAATTACATTTGTGTTTTTAGATTACTGTAATAATTACTCTCTTGTAAAAAGTATTGCATTACTTATTACTTTCTAAATGCCATATTTGAACAATACAAGGATGGACATGAAACTTCTCGTTAAAGTCTTTCGAATAAATAATATAAAATTGCATAAATTATTCTTGAACTGACCAATGTATTTAAAAGAGAAGGTTACATTAAAACATACAGCTAATTGTAACATTAGATGTTAAATCCACCATAGTTTTATATAAATTTGTTCAGTCACTTTATTTTAAGGTCCTATTCTTGCTATTAACAAACCAGTAACTATAATAAACTCCTAATTTTCTGATTATTAACAGTGAGGTAGTTAAGTTAAAGTGATTAGGGATATAGAATATGCTCATGCAGAATATGTGCTTTATAAGCACTAATAAACAGCCAATATGTTAATAAAATGCATGCTAATAAGCAACTAGTTAATAGTGTGGACTTGTCCCTATACTGAAGTGTTACCAGTTGTTCTATAGAATATTTAATTTAATTCCATCAGAAGTAGCTGTAATTATTAAGAGTAAGTCATTTTAATTACACTTTATTTTAAGGTGTCCTTGTTACAGTGTAATTCTACATTTAAGTACGGAGTAATATTAATTACCTACATGCACTTACTATATGATGAGGGTTTGGTTTAGGGTTAGTAATTATGCATAATTAATTGTTATAATAATAGTAAGTACATGTAACGTGTAACAAGGACACCTTAAAATAAAGTGTTACCTAATTTTTAAGTAAAATTAAGAGTAATCCCTTACTTTGCTTTTACTTCTTCAAGGAAAAAGTAGTCATTACTTACTAATGCATGTATAAAGAAGCTTCAATTTTGAAATTGTATGTTTTTCAAAAACAGGCACTATATGTATTTGTGCACAACTCATTTCAAACATTTTATTAAAAGATTTGGTAACACTTTATTTTAAGGTGTCCTTGTTACACATGTTGCATGTACTTACTATTATAATAACAATGAATTATGCATAATTACATGCAAGTAACCCGAATCCTAACCTTAACCATATGTGAGCCTGCAGCACAAAAGCAGTGTTAAGTCACTGGGGGATATTTGTAGCAATAGCCAACAATACAGTGTATGGGTCACAATTATACATTTCTCTTTTATGCCAAAAATCATTAGGATATTAAGTAAAGATCATGTACCTTGAAGATATTTAATACATTTCTTACTGTAAATATATCAAATCTTAATGTTTGATTAGTAATATGCATTGCTAAGAACTTCATTTGGACAACTTTAAAGATGATTTTCTCAATATTTAGATTTTTTTGCTCCCTCAGATTCCAGATTTTCAAATAGTTGTATCTCAGCCAAATATCGTCCGATCCTAACAAACCATACATCAATGGAAATCTTGTTATTCAGCTTTCAGGTGATGTATACATCTCAATTTAGAAAAATTGACCCTTATGACTGGTTTTGTGCTCCAGGGTCACATATAGTAAGTACATCTAGTTAATTAATATTACTCAGTACTTAAATGAATAATTACACTGTGACAAGCACACCCTACACAAACCTGACTGGTAAACAAGACTTAATGCAGAGTTGAACTGGTCAAGAACACTCCTTGTGCTTTGCTTCCCCTGCAGTCCTCGAGTCCAGCATGAACTGGGTGTCGTTTTACGCGGTGATCAGCGGTGTGAACAGGCACTCGACAGGCATCAGCCGCATCTGGCTGTCGGTCATCTTCATCTTCCGGATCATGGTGCTGGTGGTGGCGGCCGAGAGCGTGTGGGGCGACGAGAAGTCGGGCTTCACCTGCAACACCCAGCAGCCCGGCTGCAACAGCGTGTGCTACGACCAGTTCTTCCCCGTCTCCCACATCCGCCTCTGGGCTCTGCAGCTCATCCTGGTGTCCACGCCGGCCCTGTTGGTGGCCATGCACATCGCTCACCGCCGGCACATCGAGAAGAAGATCCTCAAGATCTCCGGCCGAGGGAGCGCCAAGGACTTCGAGAACATCAAGAGCCAGAAGTTCAAGATCACCGGTGCCCTGTGGTGGACTTACATGATCAGCATCGTCTTCCGCATCGTTTTCGAGCTGGTTTTCTTGTACATTTTTTACTTGCTCTATCCGGACATCAAGATGGTGCGTCTTGTGAAGTGTGACTCTTACCCCTGTCCCAATACAGTGGACTGTTTCGTGTCGCGTCCCACAGAGAAGACCGTCTTCACTGTCTTCATGCTGGCCGTGTCTGGAGTCTGTGTCTTGCTGAACATTGCAGAGGTTATGTATTTAATCGGTCGGGCGTGTATGAAATGCTTTCAAGGAGCAGTGGGTGAACCCAAAGCGCCTTGGCTCGCTCAAAAACTGGCAACTTACAAGCAGAACGAAATAAATCAGCTGATCGCAGAGCATTCGTTCAAGCCGAGATTCAACACTGGGCGAAAGCCTCCCGCTGATAAGAGCGAGCGCTGCTCTGCTTTCTAGACGGAGGTTTCTACCAACTATCAGCCACTGATGGAAGGTGGATGTCTGTAATCATATTAATCGACTGTCATTATCATTTAAAAGGCCCCTCTACATGTGAGGAGTGATCATGGGGGGAAATATGCTGGAGAACCGTCAAATACTACACATTTGAAAAGTGTCCATCTGGTCCTAAAAAGCAGATAAGATAAAAGAGGAATAATTGGGTTTCACACTAAGCAAACACTGGAGAGGGTAAACAGTTAGTCATTTGCTTCTGTACTGAAGTTCATATTTGTGCATATAATATTTGACCGATAGAGGGTCTATACATCACAAATTGACCTTTCGTCTCAACACAAAAATAAAAAGCGGCATGGCTTGCTGTGTGGACAGTGGAGTAGATGGTACGTTTGAACCTTTTTAATGTATTATTATAAATGTTATTTAAAGTTATTGAAAACAGAAACCCTCATCCATTAGACAAGTTAGTTTGGAGAGAACAGAAGCCCTATCATATCCTGTTGCCCATACTTGTTGATATAACTGATATTTTGATTTTTTGCAGTATAGTGTGTGGTATGAGTGCCCCTGAACAATATTGCATTGATAAAATATATTTTTTAAATTGTTTATGTTTGAACTACAAATTTGCAATGATTTTCTGGCTTTAAAGTGGATCAAAATGCCCCTTTACATTTAGTAAAGCATCTTATTCATGTTGCTTTGACTTGTAAATGATTTGTTAAAATGGTTCAATTTTTTTAGTTTTATTATAGTGAGATGCATCACATCTAACGGAAGTTTAAAGGGCATTTTCTTCATCTTTGCAAGCACTTATCTGTTAAAAAGACCAAACAAACAGACTTGAGGCCACATCGTATTTATTCGACTGTAAATGCTTGTTTGTCCTCGCAGTGTAAAGTTGTTCTAGCAATCACAGCTTTATCTAACACACCTTTAAAGAGCCCTACAATCACATACTGACCGGCTGTTCTGCTCGAGTATGATTGGGAAATAATATTTTCTTTGCAGGACTTTGTTGAATTGATGCAACTTTCTTGCTTGTAATATCAACTTTGTCATTAAACAAATTCATTATATTGCACATACCTTAATACAATTTTGAATCATGTTTATTTCTTTAATATGTCCATGCATTTCAATCATGATTTATACCCCATTTCAGTTAAAGGGGTTTGTTGAGATGATGTATATATATATATATATATATACAGAATGTTCAAAATCTTTTTTAAAGGCCTCACATACTGAAAAGAAATGTGTGATAGCAGTTGTTTTATACTGCACCGTCCAAACATAAGGAAAGAGACATTTTTGACATTACTCAGTCAGTAATGCCCTTCAGTGTTTATGACTGCTATCAGTGACGGATCAAACGTGTGTAGACCTTTAAATCACATCTTTATAGCACTCAGGACTGTCATTGCCAAACAATGAACAAGCAGGTCTTTAGCATTACACTTGAGCACGTCCTGAAGCACATGTAACCGACAGCAGCATGAACAGGGAAACTTTGGACATGATCACTGAACTCATTCCTCATGCAGAGAGAGTGCAAAGCATTGGCTTCTAGGCTCTTTCTTTTTTATTAATTAATTCTAATTGTAAGACCTGTGTGAATGAGTCATATGGACCCAGTTTGACAGTTTTCATCCCACCACTGGAGATGTGCTCAATGATAAACTGAATACCCAAGTAACCTGTTAAAGTACCAATGTTTAATCAAATAAAATGTTTAAAAACTCCGGACTTATTAAGGGGATTAATGTTACGCTCTAAACCAATCAAAACATACTAATCCAATACCAGAACTTTAGGCTTCTGACAAAAAGCAACAAAACCCGCAGTAGACATCTGGCCTGTTCTGCTGGTTTTCTAACACTTCAAACACTCAGTGTTCCTATAACAGACTTACTAGCAAATATTTTTTTACTTTCTGATGAAGGCACAGAAGGTGAAGTGAGAAGTTCGATTAAAGAAATGAGGGATTATGGAATGGAATGTTTGCAACTGAACACAGGACAAACTTAATAAATCAATATGTACACTAATGATAAATACAGAAAAATAACCTGCAATTGGACTAATTATTCTAATTAAGAGGCTGCGTTCACTACAGCCATTAAAGGTGTAGATGGGCTCCTCATAAACCAGATAACTTCATAATCTCCATAACTCTGGTTTTGTTGCACAGAAAGACACAGAACGATCTGTATTTATTGAGAACAATTATAATACAATCATTTGTAGATCAAGTTGTTAATTTAGAAAGACCAGTTTTAGTCACAGCATTCTGCTCTCGTTTTCAACATCTGCAAACACAGTACAGCAAGCTGATAATGCTTCATATAACAGACACACAGAGAAAGAATGATCTAGCGTTCCTGACTCAGTAACCGTACGGCACAAACATCAGATATTAAGGGGTCATGACGACATTCAACCCCTCGACCCATGGTTTATGATTAAGAACTACTGTTCCTTTGCAACATCAGCGAGGAAAACAAGCATGTTAACAGAAGGTGACTTCATTTCTCAGCAGAAACACTGGATGCGAGTGAAGTCAGCAAGACAGGAGGAAATCTTCTGGATCGTCCACCACCCTGAGAACAAGAAAACCATCAAGAGCTCTGTAAAACAGCAGCAGACCCAGAGAAACACCTTGATACAGTGCATCCGGAAGCTATTCACAGAGCTTTACTTTTTCCACATTTTTCAAACAAACTTCGGTAGCACTTTATTTTACAGTCCTGTTCCTCATGTACATACTATGTACTTAATGATTAAAGTAATTACTATAACTAGGTAATAGCTAGGTACTAACCCTGAACCTGCCCCATGTAGTGACCTTATATTACCAGTGCTTTCTTTGGTAAGTACACTGTAAGTAAATGCAAGTACTCGTCCTGTAACAAAGTGCAACCCAAACTTCTTTCACGTTGTCGTTATGGGGTATTGTTTGCAGAATTCGGAGGAAAATAATGAATTTAATCCATTTTGGAATAAAGGCCCGTTCACACCAAGGACGATAACTATAAAGATAACGATAAAGATATAGTTCTAAAAATCATTCTCAATATTAAAGAATAGGATAGCTCACACCACAACTATAACGATAACGATACAGAGGAACGATATCGTTGTGATCACTTTCAGATGACAGCCAATCAGAATCCATCCTGCTGTAACGAGCTCAAGAATTTAAAGCGACAGACGCATGTGCGCTTAGAATAAACAGACGATATCGTTGGCTGGTGTGGACGCTAATATCGTTATCTCGTTATTAACTAATATATGTATATTGTGTATATTTATTATGTATATATACACACATACATGTGTATATTTCAGAAAAATGTTGTTTATATAAGAAATATGAATAGATATCTTGTGCCGTCAAATGATTAATCGCAATTAATCGCATCCAAAATAAGTTTTTTTTTTTACATAATGTGTGTGTACCGTTATTAACTAATATATGTATAATGTGTATATTTATTATGTATATATACACACATACATGTGTATATTTCAGAAAAATGTTGTTTATATAAGAAATATATTTAAAATATAAATTATATGAATAGATATCTTGTGCCGTCAAATGATTAATCGCAATTAATCGCATCCAAAATAAGTTTTTTTTTTTACATAATGTGTGTGTACTGTGTATATTTATTATGTATATATAAAGACACACACATACAGCATATATTTTGAAAGTATTTACATGTATATACACATTTATATTCTTATATATATAAAGAATTGTCTTAAATATATACTGTATGTGTGTGTGTTTATATATACATAAAAACACACACAGTACACACATATGTAAAAGAAAACGTATTTTGGATGTGATTAATTGTTTGACAGCACTAATATAGACATGTAAATATTTTCAAAATATATACATGCATGTGTTTGTATTTCTATACACATAATAAATATACACAGAACACACACATATATTATGCAAACAAAAACTTTTATTTTGGATGCGATTAATCGCTTGACAGCACTTTTTATACATTTTATAGGCACTGGAACAACAAGAATGCAAAGTTTTAAAATGCTTTTTTCCCCAGCATTTTGTTGGAAGCGAATGCGAGACTGATTTAGAGATGGACAGCTAAGCTAGATCACTGCTAGGTGAGGTCTGGTGTGGACTCACGGTGTATGCGGCGAGGCTAGCGCATGCGCATGTGCAGACTGTGCTTGGGCCCGTCCACACGCTCCAGCTTCTCGAAGTGTCTCCTGGCGTTCCTGATGTTGATGAGGGTGGCAGCGGACGCTGGAAGAGAGTGAGAGGCTTTAGCTTCAGTCACATGTGCTTTCCTTCAATGTTACTGGAGCGCAGACGGACGAAACAGAATTTGGAGGTGTTTTGAAGTGTTTTAAAAGGATAGTTTCTAGTTAAACACAGGCTCTGAAAGCGGACACATTTGAATGCTTTAGCAAAAGAGGCCACAGCTGGATATTCCCAGCATAGTAGTAATGACTGAACAATATCTCTAATGTTTATGGACCACTGTGTCTGATCTCATATCAGTTCTGTACAGCTATAGGCCAGGAACAACAAAAGCTATAACAGCATCAATCCCAACACCATGTGTGCTGCCAGAGTAACTTCTCACAGCGTCCTCACTCATTTACAAGTGCACTATTCAAACATAAATTGTTATAATTCATGAACACTTCTGAAAACAGACCTAAGGTTGGTCTCTTTCTAAAGAAGACGATCAGCAGATTATTGCAGAAGTGAAATCATTTCAAAAAATGAAAGTGTAAATAGAAGTTAAAATTTACTGTAAAGAAAATGTACTGTACTATTTTTATTTTACTTTATATAAAATACATTTAAAAAAAAATTAAAATAGGTTTTAATCCAAAATTGCTATAAAATTAAAGCCATATGTCTAAATAAGTTGTGTTCCAAATTTGAAGTTGATATAAAAAAATGTAGGTTTCTATGCAATTGTGTTTAGGCGTTATACCACAAACAGCCATCCAATCTCCATTGAATTTTGTTGGATGCATTTTTCTGTCACAAATGTTTAAATCTCTCTCTCAATATTACTTCTATCACAAAATCTTGAGACTCAGACCTTTCCAACTATATGTATTTTGTCAAGATTATAAAAAGCTTTGATTCTAAAAGACCGTAACACGTTTTGTAATATGACTCCTCCCACTAAAGGAGAGGAGACCGCTAAAAGATTTAAAGTACCATTTTCATGGTAATGCAATGTCCCATTTCAAAATGGTTTTCAACAAAGACTTTTTGTGACAAAAGTCAGAACTCCTGTTATGATGTATATGTTTAAAGGTGCACTCTTGTCATAAATTAATCTATTACTGTTCCTACATAATTTTTTAACAACAAACAGTGGTCAAATATCTATTTATGAGTCTTAGACCTTTCCAACATATTTAGTTTGTCATGATTAGATTAGGATTTAATTGTAATATATTAAAATAAACGTAGGCGAGACGGTGACAGTTAAGGGGTTAAAACACAATTTGATCCGTATGAATTGGCAAATTAGCACCAATCTTCTGTTTATGCCAAAAATACTGGAAGAAAGTTATTTGTCCCCCAGAGCAAAGACTTCAGTCAGGATTTAGGTCTCTTTTTCTGCTGTGTGCTATTGTGTCTCTGGACACACTTCAAGGACTACACTCTTGAAAATCAAGGTGCTTAAAAGGTTCTTCACAGCGATGCCATAGAAGAACCATTTTTAGTTCCACAATGAACCATTCAGAATGAAGAACCTTCTTTCGCCACAAAGAAGCTTTTGTGAATCAGAAAGGTTCTTTATGGAACCATTTAGAAAAAAAAAAGGTTATTCTATGGCATCGTGAAGCACCTTTATTTTTAAGAGTGAAACATTATACCAACAATATAAATACCATCTTACATATTAATCAATTACCTTTATTTAAAGGGACTGTTCAGCCAAAACTTTAAATTTTGTCATCATTTACTCATCCTCATGCCGATCCAAATCTGTAGGAGTTTCTTTCTTCTGACTTCCAAAGTAATTTTTCCATACTATGGGAGCTACCAGCAACTGTTTTGGTTACCAACATTCCTTAAAATATCTTCTTTTGTGTTCAACAGACGAAAAAAAACTCCTGAGGATGTTCATTTTTGGGTGAACTATCCCTTTAATG